ATGCGCACTGATGTCAGCTTCAAGAAGTTGATGTTTCTTCAGGAGATTTTCAATGCTTGCTAAATCCTTGCCATAATCCTCGGAAGCTAGCAGACCTGCAAAAATGCATGCTTAGATCCCCGGATACAAAGGATTCTGTGAGAAAATGATAAACTCGTAATTTTCGAAACGGCGCAAAAAACTATCACGACCACCTGAATTGCCCAAGCTTTAGCCCGCACTACTACTGAAATATACCTATGCAAAGGCTCTCCTTTTCTGAAAAACTTGTCTTAAACTTCTCCCCGCTGTTCCTAATAAATATGCTCATTAACTTTTTAAGACCGTTCGAGTGGCCTAATCTTCCAAACAGGTACCACCAACTGGAACAACAATTACATAGAGATTCATTAAAGCGGTTGATGTATTCTGGCCAGTCAAACGATCTTGCAAAAAATTTAAAAAAGAAGAGAAATCCAAAAAATTTTCACGATAAAAACAGATTTTTCCGATACTTTGTTTGCAAGATAATTTATAATCATAGCAAGCTTTCTGGTTTTAATAATACCTGTACAAACATACTTTCAACTTCGCCAAGCCAAAATTCGAGATCTTTAACTGCGGCCATGAAACTTTTCTGTTTGTTCGCTTCTTTCAAACGATAGCTTTTCTCGGATGTTGTTTTTACTAACAATTCCCATTGATCATTGAGAGCTTTGAGTCTTTGCGAAACAGCATCCTGAAATAAAAACAAAATCTACTGCACCAGTCAAAAAACCAAAAACATCTTGGCCAAAACAGAAAACTTTAGGCAAAATTAAATGCTATTCAAAGGCCATGTAGCCGGATTCTGTTCGAGTTCCGTACCTCTGTGGTCCAACTTTCTCTATTTCAAATGATAGCTTCATGAAAAGTACGAAGAATACAAGCGAACGCAGAAACAGAGGATGTAATACACAATTTTTCCCCCACTTTCATATGAAGGGAGCACGGAAACCAACACAAGGATCACCGGGAGTAGGCACTGAATTGCAATTTTAATTTTAGATAATGTGTGTTTATGTAAAAAGTAAGGGTTAAAAAGAAAGGAATAAAAGGAAGGTGAATAAGATAAATCGGATTAAAAAAACCTGAATAGAAATGTTTCCGCTGTCTTTGAGTGGTTGTTGTGACTGAAGTGCTACTAAGTGATGTAATACTTCACTCACAGCAATCATGCAAAGGAGGACAGTGGAACTAAAGTGCGCCATGATAAAACGACTACTGGTCAAAATGATGAGCTTTTTATGACTGTAGCAACCAGGTTGAACCTGGAAGCCAAACGGCGAAGATGCACCAGAATACAGAAAGAGAGAATATGAGGAAATAAAGAGTGTAATAAGACGTTTCGGTCCATTAAGTCATATACATCTTAACTCAACACTGCGACTGCACCTCGGCAGTATGATGGTGGCAGTGCTTAATGAAAAGTGAGAGAAAGGAAGGAAAAAAAGTGAAAAGTTATGACTGTGTGATTAGCGGAAGTAAGAATGGGGTGGGAGAAAAATGAGGAAAGAAGATTTGAAAAAAAAAAGGGGAACCTTTTAATATTTAATCTTTGTCGTTTAAACTTACTGAGCTCTTAATAACTGCGGTATCTATCATGAAAACGACCATTTTGGAAAAAAAAATTTCAAATTTTTGAATCATAATATTCAAGTTTCACTATCTACATAACGAAGAGGGGGAAGAAAAATCTTGCCTCGCCGCCGGCACATTTGCTGGCATCGATCAGATTCTGGCCAGCAGTGATCAGTGTTGCAATGCGATCCGCGTTGGCAGCCAATTCCGCTTCGAAGGCCTGTTGCTTTTGATGTTTTTGCTGGATGTGTGTTGGGTCACGATAACTCTCCTCCTGGGCAATCTGGAATTTCTCGGCAATCCAATTTTCGATTTCGTCGGCATCGCGCGAGAATTGCTGCAGTGTTTGCGACTCGCCCAATTTGCTACGCTTTTCGATCAAAGCAGCTTTTAGGCGATCCCATCGCTGCAAGATCTGGTCACGCTTTTCCGCCACTGCGTTCTTATCGTAGTGATCGGCATTTATAAGCTGATTCGCGAACGTCTGCAGTGCCGAGATTTTTTCTTGCTGAGAAGCTATGGCCTGAAAATAAGTAAATTAAGCATATGTATTAGAACAACGATGTAGCACGGAGAGAGTCAGTGTTCCTAGCTAAAAACACAGAAATTTTCAAGAATTGGGAAAAAAAGAAAGAAAAAAAATGCAGCACTGCGAAAGGAAATGCATGAAAATCAGGGTTAGTTCTGTTGCAAAAGGAAGAAGGAGCGAGTAACAAGGAAGCGAAGTTGGAGGCTCAACCCCCTTCGCCTTGTCCAGTTGCCCTTCGGCTTCCTGTAATATGCAAATGTCCCGTCCCTCGGCTAGAGTTCTCCACTCCGTGATATTTAATGCGATGATTGAAAATGAAATTGTTAGTGTAATTGTTGGTTTCGCTGAAATGTGGAAGTACGCGGCAGCAGCTTGGAGCTGCTGCCGCGTGCAATGATTTTGCGTGTCCGGTGGCAGCTTGGCGCTGATGCCGGGCGGATCCCGGGCTGTTTGGTTTCTTTTTCCTAATTGTTTTTCTTTTGTGCGACTGAATATTAAAGAAGTGAGTCCTAGTTGCTTGGTGTTGTACTTCCCCGCCAGGAAGGCACCCCACCACCAGCTCCTCCTCCGTCCGAACATTACAGTTCTGCTAAACAGTGCAAAAAAACACTAGATGCAACCGACTGAATCAGGCGTTGAGCCAATTGCAAAACAAGCGGTGGAATAATGAAAGAAGACTCTGCTATGGCGAGGAAACTGTATTTTGGCTGGAAAGTGACAAATTTTGGATGCGATTATACTGCAAAAAAAATTTTTTTTGAAAAAAAAAACATATTTTTTAAAAAAAAGGAGAGAAATTCGGGCCTTCAGGGATTTCTAAAGTAGAATTGCTTGTTCGGTAATGTGAGGTGCTGAATCGCAGCGTCAATTTAACACGAAAAAACGTTCAAATAGCAAATGAAAAAAACTGCTTGGATGTTAAACAGCGTAGAAACCTTGTCGAAGTCTTCGTGCTTTTTGATCAGACTTTCGACATTGTCACCGGTATCCTCCTGATTCAAGAACGCTTCCCGAGCGCTCATCCAAGTATCAGCTTGTTCACAGTCACGGTAGAACAGCTGCAGTTCCAAGCATTGATCCAAAATATGGCGGCGGTAGACCCAGGAGCTGAAACGGGTGAACACTCATATTTCACTAACAGGTGAACAATTCTGTAACTAAATCCATCAGGAGCCGTTAACCATTGTAATTAGGTACGTCCAGAAACCAAATTTTTAACAAACTCAGTTAAAGAGTTAACAAATTCATTGGTTGCCATTTTAAAAAATAATGATTTTTTCCCAAAAGTGATCAAAAATTGTCAAAATTTATATATATTACATGACGGGCGAAACATATGAGTGAACAGCATTCGCAAGAAGATAAATAATTACTGTTCCCCGTTCAAGTAGGTGTTAAAGCACTGAAACCTATGCCCCGGGAAAGCGTGGTAAGCGCGTAAAGGCCTGCCAAAGCTTTTCTGGCCTATGTTCATAACTCGAGGATCTGAGAAGCTGGAAGGCTAAAATCATAGTATAGCTGAATTTTTTGGGCATGGATCGGGAGTCGTTGTAAAAATGACTAACAATCGTGATGGCTAGTCTCAGTTCTTTTAGCTAGAAGCATCTGCCGGAAAGAACGTGCTATGACTTTTTGGTTTGAAACATTCCTGTTCATCCAGTTTTTTAATATAATTTTATATTTTTATGTATATCGTAGTTAATATCTCTGTTTTACTGAAGTGTAGTATCTTTGCTAATCCCAGCGGCAGTATGAACGGTACTTTATTTCAGGCCCGAACAGGTGGCGCAGATAAGATGGTAAGTACTAACTGGAGACACACAACTCAGGACTGAAAGATCGGACGTAGTTACGTCCACCTCATGAAAGCATAACAGAATAAATTCGTCGACAAAACGGGTTAATATTACTTTCCCTTTTATTCTTCTTCCTACTTCAAAATACTTTTCCATCCCCAACACCGGCCACCCGATGGTTTTAGCGATCAACGTGTAAAAATTTCAAAACTTTGAAGCGATGTTAGCCCTAAAAGAGCTAAAATACAACGATGAATGAACACACAGATCGTCTATTGTTGCACTTATGCAATCCTAAGCGAATACTGAGGCCAAAACCACTTTCAAGCTAAGAGACTGATTTGAGCAAAAGAGCTGGGAAGCGATGGATACTATTCAGCACAGGCATTCTCAAGAACTTACTC